TTTTAAGTTGGTGGCAGTTGCGGAGGTAATGAGCAGCAGGGCTGGCTGCAGCCCCTGTCTAGACAGCTCAGGATGTGCCAGGAGTGGTGATGCACACCAGGTTCCGGCCAGCCGCGCCCCCACACAGCAGGGACCTCGTCTCAGCCTGTCCTCCCGGAGGACTCCGAGCCTCTGAGGTCTCCAGAGAGGCCTGTGTCTGTTCACCCAGGCCCTGGAGAAAGGTGCTTGCAGAACGTGGAGGCTGTGCCTGGTGTGCTGCCTATATTTGTGCTGCTGTTGTGGCTGATGGCGACCAGGAGTTAATTAACTTTTATTAATCAACAGTGCCACCTGGTGGCCAGAGGGTGCATCTCCTGATGACCGCACGGCCGATCTTCATTGTTTTCTTTTATTTAAAAAAATTGAGCTGAGCATGGTGGTGCACACCCGTGAGGATTGCTGCAAGTCGAAGGCCAGCCTGGAATATACAGAAAGACCCTGACTCAAAGAAAAAAAAAGAAACCCAACAACAAAACTCAGCGGCAGAGTCTTTTGTTCAGTGAAGTTTCAGACAGTATTGTGGAGGCAGGGGGCCACGTGATATTACAGATCTGATTGGCCCACTGAGCAGTCTGCGTCCTGCTGTCCTAAACCCTTGTGCAGACGTGAGGGTGGTGAGTACCCTGCCCCTGAGCAGGCTGTCTGGTCTCCTTCCCCCCAGTGCCCCGCCTTCTGACTCAGGGCCTCTCCTTGACTGCTGCAGGGCAATGCAGACCATCTCCTTTGAAGAAAGAAAAGCTGTCAAAAGGCTAAGCTGTACCTGAAACATAGGGATGAGCAGCAAAATTGAGGGTTTTTTTTTACTTTGTGTTTTTGTGGGGGGATAGGGTCTCATTATGTAGTTTAGGCTGGTTTTGAACTCACTTTGTAGTCCAAGTTAGCCTCAAGCTCATAGCAATCCTCTTGCCTCAGCCTCCCAAGTAGTGGGATTACAGGTGTGCACCACCAAGCCCAGAACAAAACTGAAATTTGGAGATTGGAGATTTTTAAAAATTAGCAGATGGGAGTAGCGTGCCTCATGATAGCTACGTCTTGGAAGTGAGGATGAAGACTGCTGTTTTCACACAACGGAATACTGCTCAGCCATAAAGAAGGATAAATTTAAATCATTTGTAGGAAAACGGATGCTCCTTGAGACCATGATGTTATGTGCAATAGATCAGGTACAAAAGCTTAAATATTGCATGGTTTCTTTTTGTTTTTTTGTTGTTGGTACTCAGGATTGAAGTCAGGACCTTGCGCTTGTAAGGCAGGTATGGTGCCACCGAGCTAAATCCCTGGCCCCACATGGTTTCTTTCATGTGAGGAACTCAAAGTATAATCTAAAGAACAAAACGAATGGATAGATGGGTAGTAGAAAACATGGAGATAGACATTTGCAAATGGTAGGGGAATCTGAGACGGGAGGGGAGGTAACGGAATTGAGACGTGTGAAGTCCATGCGCCAGCTCCTCACAGTGTGTGTTGCCATGCCCTGCAAACACACACTAACAAAGAAATCTGCCGGGTGTGGTGGCGCAGTCCTGTGACCCCAGCACTGTGGAGGCTGAGGCAGGAGTCCGAGGCCACTCTGAACTATGTAGCGTGACCCTGTCTCAAAAAACAAAAGTAAAAATGAAAGGAAAGAAGAAGAAACTAAAATGGGCAAACGGGGCAGACAGAACCCGGTCACGTCAGTCTGACGGTGTGAAGCCACGGGCTCCACTCGGCAGTTTGTGTCTTTACTCTTCTCAGCGGTCAGGTTCGCAGGCTGGTGGCTGAGCTTGAGTACAAGGCAGGAGAAAAAGCAAAACCTAGCAGGAGCTTTTGAGGCCCACCAGCACACCGGTTCTGGGGTCGGGATTTGTGCACATGGACGTTGCTTGGAGCAGCTGGCATAGAGACCACAGTTTGGAGAGAGTTCCCCTCCTGGGTGCAAGAGCGGGAGCTCTGAGTAAACCTGCTTCCCTTCCACACCCCCAGCTAACAAGAAGCACAAGGAAAGTCCTGCCGGCTAACGTGCGCATGGGCGTTGAGATCGGCCAACAAGGGGGACTGGATGGAGTCTGTGCCTCAGCGCACAGAAGCTGAGTGTGGCCCTCGGCCTTTCTTAATTTCAGGGAGCTCTGGGCACCAGGATCCTGTGTCTAGACTCGAGGTCTCAGACACAGGAAGTCCCAGCAGCTGGGTGAGTGTCTGCCCTCATTGTGTGTGTCATCGGACGCTGACACCCAGGTTTCTCTTTGTACCTTTCGTTGGTGCTTTTTTTTGAGACAGGGCCTCCCTGTGTAGTCCAGGCTGACCTTGAACTCATGGCGATCCTCCTTCCTCTGCCTCCCCAGAACTGGAGTCACAGGCGTGCAGCCCCGCACCCAGCTTCGCTTTGTGCCTGTGAGCGTCGCTTTATAAACCCACAGGATGAAATTCTGCTCCTTCCCTGGCATTGCTCAGGGAAGGCTGGGTGTGCTAAAAATGTGTAGGAGGTGCCTTTCCTTTTCTGGATTCCTCCTGGCATTAGAACCACTTCTGGCCTTTTACTGAACTGAGGCAGACGAGCAGGGACAGGGGCGGGTCTGGCTAGTGCTAAAGTGTGTGCTTGCTTAGTATGTGTGAGCCGAGAGTTCACAGGGTGGAATCCAGGGCCTCCTCCCTCAGCTACATCCCCAACCCTTGCAAAACAAGACAGGGGTTTGCTGATTGGCCCAGGCTAGGCCAAAACCTGCAGATCTTCCTACCTCAGCCTCCAGAGTCCGGGGATTCCTGGTATGTTCCACCACGCCCACGAGTAGTTTTGAGTCTAATAAGACAGCAGAAGCACAAAGCAGCTGCCTTGTCACATCTCACATAAAGGGAGAAAATAGTTCTGTCAAATGGGGAGCAGTGGTACATACCTCTGATCCCAACACTGGGAGTCTGAGGCAGGAGGACTGCTGCGATTTCGAGGCCTGCCTGGGCTCCACAGTGAGTTCGAGGCTGGCCTGAGCCACCCAGTGAGACCCTGTCTCAAAACACTGTGGGGGTGGGAAGGGTGAATGGGAGGTTCTTTTGGCGAGGAGGTATCTGTGTTGTGTTTGTCCGTGAGCCCCCTCGTGGAGCACGGCTCAGGAACTCGGACTGGGAGGGCAAGGCGCGGAATCACCGAGCTGACTCCGGGGAGGTTTCTGGAACGCTTCCACTTTTAATAAGTTCAGCCAGCAATTTATAAAGTTTTGGAAGGGGGAGTGGCGAAGGGGGAGTAATATATTTGGCTTAGCAGGATTGGTTATTGGAGTGTCCTTGGACGGGCGATGGAGGCGTCCGACTAGGGGGACGGGCAAGGCCACAGCTGGACAGAGACAAGGCTCAGCGCACACGCTAGGCCTCTACTGGTGTGCTGGGAGACACACAGGCGGTGCCCTTGTCCCAGCCAGACCTGTACCTCGCTTACCTATCTGGGATAATTGTGGGCTCTGAGTTGAGGGTTGCGGTATGGTTGAGCGGTAGGCACAGAGCTTACATAGCAGGTGCCCTGGGTTCGAGCCCCAGCACTACACGCACATGGATGCACACATGTAGAAATACGAGTTGAGCTTTTCTCTGCGGGGATGGGGAAGGCAGCACTAGAGACACCGTGGAGCCGGCCGTGCAGGGTCAGTGTGGAAGGAAAGTGGCCCGTGTCAGGCACCAGCAAGAAAGTTGATAGGGGCCGTGGCCACGGCAGGGGCTGAGAGTTCCAGGGAAAGGGGTTGGTATTGTTTGTTTTGAACTCCTGTGACATTCTCTGATGGTCAAGGCTTTTTGCTTTTTTTGTTTTAATTCTGTCAGATTTCTTGGCTAAGACTTTGTTGTTGTTCAAGGCCTTTTTTAGCATACCTTTTTTTTTTTTTTTTTTTTTTTTTGGGTACCAGGGATCGAACTCGGGTCCTTGCGCTTGCGAGGCAGGCCACCATCAAGGCCTTTTTTAAAAGTGTCTCACAGTGTAGTCCAGGCTGGCCATGAGCTCACTATGTAGCCCAGACTGGTGTCAAACTCATGGTGATCCTCCTGCCTCAGCCTCCTAAGTAGAGGGTTTATAGAAGTATACCACCAACAAAAGACTTCTTCAATACAACTTTTTGCTTCAGTGTTTTTCATATTATAAGGAACACTGTATGCCACTTTATTCTGAGACAGAGTCTTGCTAAATTTCCCAGGTGGGACTAATTTTGTGATCCTCCTGCCTCAGCCTTTGGTGTGTTGGGTCTAAAGGTATGCGCCGCTGCACCCTGACTCAGTCTTCCTATACTCCGGAGTTTCTCAAGCCCAGCTGGACACTTCTTTGTCTTCAGGCTGTCATAAGATGATTTAGCAGCATCTGTAGCCTCTCACCAATTCCAGGAACCCCAACCTAGCTGTGCCTACAAAAATGTCTGTAAGCATTGCCATTTGTCACCCCCACCCCAGGCTAGCGGGTTTCCCTCACTGAAAACCACTGGTTTAAGCCAGGCATGGTGGCACACCTGTAATCCTAGTGCTCTGGGAGACTGAGGCAGGAGGATCACAAGTTCAAGCCCATCCTGGACAATTTAGCAAGACCCTGTTTCCAAATTAAAATTTAAAAGAGGCTGTGGATGTAGCTCAGTGCAGAGGCCCTGGGTTCACCCCAAGACCACAAGGAAAGCGCAGCACCGTATGTACGTATGAAGGTCCTTCAGCATTGAGATTTCGCTCTTGAGCATCCAGTCGCCATGCCACAGGTTTGGTGCTGGCTGCGCTGTGTGTTGGGGTTGGGGCTGGTATGAGGTCAGCCGGCCAGTCACCTCTTCCTTTTCTTGGGAGGACCACGGGGCCCTGGCAGGCTGCCTGAGGTGTCTACCCTGACTCCTTCGGGCCCACACTCTGCTCTCCCTGGCTGTTGGGAAGTCACACAGGTCAGCAGAGCTCACTCCTGTGTCAGACGACATGGAAGGTTCGGCGCCCAGGGCCTTTGTGGCACTAAATACTGGAACTTTGTTCTTCCCTAGGTTACTTGAAGAATCTCCTGGAAGACTCTGGAGAATACAGAGACACTCAAGGTAAACACCCTGGCAGAGATATCTCATGTTTCTTTAGGCCCGGAAAGGAAAATTATACCAGTCTCAGAACTCAGAGACAAAACTGTTTTTAGCTGGGCACGGTGGCACAGATTATAGTCCCAGCATTCTGAGAGGCGGAGGCAGAGTCAGGAAGGTCTGGGGTTGTAGCATGGTACAGAGATCCCAGATTCTATCCTCAGTGCTGCAAAACAAACAAACAAACAAAAAACTAAAATCACACACACGCCCACCTCATAAGAGGACGTGAAGCTTTAAAACATAGTGCACACCTGTAATCCTAGCACTTGGGAGGCCGAGGGAGAAGGATTGGTGCAAGTTCCAGACCAGTGTGAACTATGGAGTAAGACCCTGTCTGGAAAACCAGGTCTTCTAAGCAGATTAAAAGAGAACTTGGTAAGGAAGTACATCAGTGCTGGGAGGCAGATTTGACGGCAGAATCAGCCTCGCAGGCAGCCTCTACAAGGGCGAGCACAGTGGCTGCGTCTGGAAGTCCTCCCCTGTGTTCTCAGTCGCGCTGCGGCTGTAATAGGGTCGTGTTGTACAGATGGCCACTCTTCATCTTTCTGAAATGAGGATGGAGCCGGGTGTGGTGGTGCACGCCTAGAATCTTTGCACTCAGGGAGGCCGAGGCCAGAGGATCCCAAGTTGGAGCCCCCATCTGGGGAGTTTTGCATTTTAGTGAGACCCAGTCTCAAAATAATAAAAGATAGGTGCTTCACTTCTCAGAGCACCCACACTCACTTGAATATATCAGAAGCAGATATCTGTATCTACACCTCATGAATCCTCTTCATGTCTCTTAAAAAAATAAAAATAAAAAATAAAGGTGCTGGAGGCTGAGGATGTAGCTCACTACAAAGGCCCTGAGTTCAGTCCCCACTACTGCAAATTAAATAAATATAAATAAATATTTTTGAAAAGTAAAAGGAACTTCAGGTGGCCAAGTGGCTGGGTATTATGATTTGTGTACTTACTAAGTCCCAAGGCTCCTCCCGCCCTAGGAATTGTATTGCAGGAAAGCAGGGAAGATGTCCAGGGGGCAGATGGTGGAGCCCCACTCCGGAGCTCTGAGGGGTGGCTGGGTCCCCTGGAAGGGAAACTGCTTTCCTGGACTGCTGCTGGCCTCATGCCTGTGATCCCAGCTTTGAGAGGGAGGCTGAGGCAGGAAGATCACTGAAGGCCTAAGCCCAGTTGGGCTACAGTAGCAAGACCCTGTCTCAAACAAACAAACAAAAACCCTAAATTAAAAAAAAAAAAAACAACTAAACTGAATTAAAATATAAGGGCTCAGCTTCCCTGTCTTAGTCTGATTCTAGCAGGTGGGAGTTGGTAAATGGTCGCCCACTGACAGCCACTAGGTATCTCCCAGCATGTGCAGGAGTCCCCGCTGCTGGGGCGGAGGGCAGCTCCCCGGGAAGGACACGGCCAAGCCCGGCCCCCGTCCGCTTCCTGAGCTGCGAGTGCAGAGTGTCTGTCCAGTGTGTTATGAGGAAGCGGCTCAGTGTGCAAGATGGCAGTGGTGGCCCTCAGCCGTGCAGCGGTGTTGTCCTTTCTAATCGACAGCTGCTAACCCCAGACCAAGAGAGCCGCAATGAGCCCTGACCCTCTCACACTTGTTAGTTTTTATTTTGTTTTAATTTGACTTATTTTTGGTTTTTTGAGATAAGATCTCTTGCGGTCCAGGCTGGTGCCAAACTGGAGAGCCTCCTGCCTCAATCTCCTGAGTTCTGGGATCACCTCTGTGTGCTGCAGCACCTGGCTCCTTTCCTATGGTTATGGTTTCCTGTATTAAGATCCTCCTCTCTCCTGACCCTTCTCCCACAAGCCAGTTTGTACTAGGATGGCTTAGCCTCTGGGTAAAAGCCTACTCTCACCTCAGGGGGACAGTTAGGTCCCGCCCTAGAACAAGCGGACATTCCTGCTTGTGTAGATGTGGCCAGCATTGAGTGACTTGGGCTTGTGGGTGTTCATAGGTGTTGTGTGCAATCTTTTTCCTTCATCACCGAGCCTAGTATCCATGTGTCTGGGAAAGAGCTGTCTGTTGGAAACTGCTATGGTCAGGCCGTGTGTTGCTGCACTAGTGACCAGGTCCCTTCTGTCCCTCCCTCCTTAGATGCCCTTGCTGTGGTTATAGAGGTGGCCAACCACGCCAATGACAGCATGAAGCAAGGCGTGAGTATCTGCACTCACTTGGTGGCTGGTGCCCCATGGGGCCGGCCAGGCCTGAGCCGTTGTCTCCCCGCAGGACAACTTCCAGAAGCTCATGCGGATCCAGTGCAGCCTCAGTGGGCACCAGGAGATCCTGCAGCCGGGCCGGGTAGGTGTCTGTACCTAGTGTTTATTTTAGTTATGAAAATAGGTTACCTGTGTCTGGACGTGGTGGTACATGGCTGTAAGCCCAGCCCTCCGTGGCTGAGGCAGGAGGATCAATTGCCCAAGAGTTCAAGGCCAGCCTGGATTGCATAATGAGACCCTGTCTCAAAACAAAAGAAAACTGGGAAACACCCACAATGGGAGTGCGTGTGGCAGGAAGTGCAGTTCAGTGAGGACAAAGGCAAGGGACCCCGCAGATTCCTGTCCAATGATTTAATAGTGTCATTGTATTGTATAATAACAGCTGACTTCGTAGAGCTTTGAATGCAGTTTCATTTAAGTCTTGACTGTGAGAGAGGGTCATGGAGGAGGATAAATGGTATCTCGATGCTCCTTAGAGAGCACAGAAGTGGTCTGAGGAAGGAGTTCAAGAAAATTACAGAATGAAACTGTCAGGACCAAGGACCCTCAGCTCACGGAGGACCCTGTGGCCAATGCTGGCTTTATAATCTTAGCTTCTGTCCAATTTCCAAATGACTGTTCAGGTTTAAAAAGAAACTGAAGGTGCCAGACATGGTGGCAAACCCTACAATCCCAGAACTCTGGACACGGAGGCAGGAGGATCACTGAGAGTTCAAAGCGAGCCTGCCGAACAGAATGAGACTCTCTCTCAAAAAGACAAAAAAAACCCTGGGGGCCTGGGAGTGGAGCTGGTAATACTGCCCTTGCTCAGTGTGTGTGAGGCCCTGGACTTCATACCCAGCGCCATGCCCAGAAAAAAGAAGGAAAAACAAAGGAAACAAACCTGCCTGTCCAGAGTCCAAGGAAGAGGCTGGGGCAAGCTGGGAGGGGCTGCCATGCGTGGAGCTGTGCGGGCTGGGACTGACGCGTTCGCCTGTGACCCAGGTTTTCCTCAAGGAAGGGGTCCTGAGGAAGCTGTCCCGGAAGGTCATGCAGCCGCGCATGTTTTTCCTGGTAAGGCGTCTGGGTTGCTCCTGGGGTTGGGGGGCGGCTCTGTGGGACGGAGGAGCGGGGCAGGCACCGGACAGTTTCGAGGCCTCTATGACGGGCTGCTGTGCCGCCCAATCAGAAAAGTGATTCCTTCGGGGACTGAGTTGGCTTTGTATTTGGTTGGGAAGAATTGTTTGCATCAAGTGCTTTTTAAATAATAGAACATTTCAGGCACTTCTTAGGGAGAGGAGCAGAACAGAAGTATTTTCTTCAGAGAACTGTTAACAGAGAGGCAATATTTGTCCTTTGTGCTCAGATTTTGTCAGTATCTTTGATGGTGAGCTTGGCGTGGTGGCACACACCTGTAATCCTAGCACTCAGGAGGCTGAGGCAGGAGAGTTACCGATAATTTGAGGCCAGCCTAGTCTTCGTAATGAGACCAGGTCTCAAAAAAAAACCCTTAGGCGCTAACGTGAGCATCTTGTCATTTGTCCCATGCAATGCTCCTCCTTTCAGTTTAACGACGTCCTGCTGTACACCACACCGCTGCAGTCTGGGATGTACAAGCTGAACAGCATGCTCTCCCTGGCTGGGATGAAGGTCAGTGTGGGGTAGCTCTTCTTCCTACTCCAGGGTGCAAACCTACCGACTGCAGAGGGATCCGTGATGGTTGTGTTTCTCCCATCCCTCCCCCTCTCCAGATGCTGTTCGTGCCCGTGTTTGTAAATTCGTATCATTTCTTCATTGGGGCATTCATTCATTCAAAGTCTATTTATGGAGAGTGACTGTAAGCAGAACATGGTCATAAATTTGGTGAAAATACAAGGATGGCTGGAAACACGATGCTTTTTGACTAGTTGGGAGCTTAATACACTAGATAAATACCTGTGAAGTTGACAGTAACAAATCTCACTAAAAAAATGCTGGGCATGGTGATTCATCTCTGTAATCCCAGTGCTCAGGAGGCTGAGGCAGGAGACTCTCAGCAAGTACAAGTCCAGCCTGGGCTACATAATGAGGTCAAGGGGAGCCCAGGCTACATAGTGAGACCCTGTCTCTCTCTCTCTCTCTCTCTCTCTCTCTCTCTCTCTCTCTCTCACACACACACACACACACACACACACACATCCACACACACACACACACACACACCCACTGTAAAGGCTTGCTTTAGCTCTTGGGAGTTTAGGAAGGCAGCTCTTGGAGGGAGTGGCGTGCAGCCGTTGATTGACAGCTGGGGAAGCAGAAGCAAGGCCTGTGGGAGGAAGAGAAGGGGAGCCTGAGGTCAGGGTGGCCGGAGGTGGCGCTGTGACTTCAGCCCCACAGTGGGAAGCTGGGCCTTCGCCAGGGTGGCGGAGGGGAGCTGTGGTAAGCGCCACAGGGAGGCAGCTGTGGCTACCGTCTCCAAGCTGGGATTTGCAATAGTACGCATGGGTGTCCTCAAACTGCTCTCTTCCAGGTCAGGAAGCCCTGCCAGGAGGCCTATCAGAATGAACTAAAGATCGAGAGTGTCGAGCGCTCCTTCATCCTCTCAGCCAGGTACTCTTTTTACTCATTTTTTTTGTTTGCTTGCTTGTTTGAGACGTCTCACTGTGCAGCCCAGGCTGGCCTCGAACTTGTGCTGTCTCCTGCTCAGCCTCCCGAGTGCTGGGATTACAAGCTTGCGCCACCTCCCAGCCACCTTGTGGATTTCCGGCTTTAGCTTAGGAGCCGCAGGAAGCTGCCGAATGTCATTCCTGGGGAGGCGGGGGTCAGAGGATCTCACGGTCCTGTGGCTCATGCCTTAGGGTGGAGCAGAGGCAGAAGGGTCCTGCGAGCCCCAGCTAAGTAGTGACCCTGTCTCAAAACAAACAGCTGTAGTTTTAGCTCAGTGGTACAGCCTCCAAAGCACAACATCCTGAGTTCGATCTCTGGTATCAAAACCAAAACAACAAAGCAAAATGAAACAAAAACACCGAACAGAAAAGCAGAGGAGGTGCTGAGCAGGGTGGGATGCCCTGGGGACCTGCCTGGTGGTGATTCTTCCCAGTAGGTGGGAGTGGCAGTTAGTGCTCTGCTGGGCGCCCAGGTCTGCAGGGGAAGGAGGACTTGGCCCGGCTCTTTTGGGTCCTTGGAGGACGGGGCTGGTTATGCTGATGCTGTCACCAAAGGAGCCCTAGGCGGTCTCACTCCACTGCACCTGCATCGGCTGTGGGCTGTGAGCACTGTCTTGACAGATGCCCACAGGGCACGAGCCAGGGCGATGAACGCGGCTGGGAACAGCACATGCACCCAGGCTGCACAGCAGAGCTGCAGTCCACCCACCACCCAGGCTCCTGAGGTCCAGCGGTGATTCTCCAGGTAGCCCTGCCTTCCTCTCTGCTTTTTGTGACTTCTCAGTAAACGACAGGAGAGTGTGGGAGAACGGGTGACATCTCATGAAGGTTGGCCTGGGAGTCCAAGAAGAACACCGGATGGGCCTGGTGGCACACGCTTCTAATCCCAGCACTTGGGAGGCTGAGGCAGGAGGATCGCAGCAAGTTTGAGCTCAGCCTGAGCCACACAGGAAGACCCTGTCTCAGAAAAACAAAAATGCATGGACTGGCTGGCTGTGGGCTGGTAGTCATGCTGAGTCCCTAATACCCTTGGTGCTGTTGGTGCTGGTCTGCAGTGTGGATCTGTAAGTGGTGACCGTGGGTGAGATGTCTCGTGGGGAAGAGCGGAAAGTCCGGGTCCTCCAGGAGCAGCTCCCAGGCGGAGGCTTGGCGACTTGTGACAAGCACTCAGTGCTGTTGGCTGACGTGGTGTTGCTATTAGAACAGGCTCATGTTGGTAATCTCAGCCCTCTGGGAGACTGAGACAGGAAAGTTGCAAAGTTCAAGCCAAGCCTGGGCAGCCTGGTGATTTAACAAGACCTTGTCTCAAAATAAAAGCTCAGAAAGGGCTGGGGATGTAGCTCAGTGTGAGGGCGATTAGAATACTAGACGCAACTGAAACAGGTTTGGTTTGGTTTAGAAGGCAAGGGGTTATTCTGTTGTTGTTCTACCTTTTTCTGTCCGTAGGAGTGAATACCCTAAAGAGTGTTTGGAACAGCCAAAGCCACTTAATAAAGAGTGCATTTCTCAGGGCGAGCGCAGTGGGCAATCCACGTGGTTTCTGGTATTCCTGGAGCTGCTCACCAGGCGTGGTGGTGCTCACCCAGAATCCCAGCACTCGGGAGGCCAGGGCAGGAGGACTGCTTGTTCAAGGACAGCCTGGACTACATTGCAAGACCCTGTCTCAAAACAAAATCAACAGCAAGGGTCTGGGGACTGAGTAGCTTAGTGGTGTGGCACTTGCCTAGAATACATGAGGCTCTAGGTTGGTCCCCGGTGCTGCAAAGGGGTGTGTGTGTGTGTGTGTGTGTGTGTGTTGTGTACCATTATGATGGGCTTTTCTTTTGGTTGTGGTGGTGCTAGGGATTCCACCCGTGACTTTGTGCCTACTAGGCAAGTGCTCCACTGCTCTGCTACATCCTCAGCCTGTTAACGGAATTATCAATATTTGAAATTACTAATTAAAATTAAAAACCAAGAGCTGTCATGTAAAGGTACAAGATCCCAATGTTGATTGTAACTGTACTGTATACCTAAAATGGACCAATAAACTCAGGGAGAAAAAAAAGCCAAAAAAAATTAAGCTGGGCGAGGTAGCACATGCCTATGATACCAGCACCTGGGAGGCTGAGGCAGGAGAATCACCAGGAGCTCAAAGACAACCTGAGCTATATACTGAGTTCAAGGCCAGCCTGGGATGCACAGTGAGACGCCATCTCATACAAAATAATAACAGAGAGTGAACAGTGCAGTGAATACAAACTCATTCACCCAGATGCAGAAATCATCAAGCATTGCTACCAATTTTCCTTTTCTTAAAAGTTTTCTAAAGTATTTTAAAACAAAGTGCATTTGTCAGGACTTCTGCAGTGTGCCTTTCTACAAAGTATGTTTCTTCCATCACAATGTCGTCTTGATGGCTTTGGTTTTCTTAGGATGCTGTTTAAGCCAGTCGTAGAGTCTCTGCCTTCCCCCTGCATTTACTTGTATTTCTTACATCTGCCTCTCAGTTTTGAAATGCAAAACACAGTTTAAACAATGGCTCCCAAATGTCCTGACAGCGGTGATGATTAGGAGCCACCACAGATTGGGAAGGAGAGGCCTGGTCACAAAAACACAGAACAAGCTGGGCACTGTAGCACACACCCTAATCCCAGCACTCTGGGAGCCCGAGGCAGGAGGGCTGCAAGTTCAGACCCAGCCTGGTCAATTTAGCTGTTTTGCAAGATCCTGTCTCAAAGTAAAAAATAAAGAGAGGGCTGGGAATGCAGCTCAGGGAAAAGGCCCTGCGGTCAATCTCCAGTACCATGCACACAGAAGAAGACAGAGCAGTCGCACCATTCCAGGGACAGACTTGCCCTTTCTGACCCATTCCTTTGAAAGTCTAGCTAAAGGCAGCTCCTGCCCGCTGGGTGGGCACAGAGTGCTCACAATAGGGCTGGCCGATTCCCCTTGTAACCACACCTTCAGCGTCTGTTTTATGACACTAAACATATGTCCACTTCGTGGAGCTTTCCAAGGAATTTTAGTTGTGTTCAGGGAGCTAAAGACACTGGGGACTCTGTGCTATGAGCTGGTGTTTGTAACTTGATCCTAACAATGTTTTTAAATTCTAGGGCTGTGTCTTAGGGAAACCCTTGATTCTCCAAAAAATCATAATCACAAACCATAAGCCAAATAAAAGTGCCTGGACCTGGAGACCTTCTGATTGGTGCGTGTGTGCACCACACCGCTCAGTGATGCCATCCCTCATGGATGACATTTCTCAGTCCCCTTAAATCCTCCCCCTCCGCGGCTGTGGGCGGCTGTGGGCGGCCGGGTCCATGTGCCGCGCCCCTGGGAGAGGAGGGAGGTGCTGCACACTTGGACCCTGTGGGTTTGCGTCCCCTGCCAGGGCGGCTCGGAAGGCAGGTGGGGTCCAGCCCAGTCCGCTTCACAGGACCCCCTTGCCCCGCAGCTCTGCCCGCGAGAGGGACGAGTGGCTGGCAGCCATCTCCGGGGCCATAGATGAGCACACCAAGAAAAGAATCACCTTCTGTCCTGGTAGGAGTCTGGATGAGGTATTGTTTCTCCTTCTGTTTATCTTCCAGTGCATTTCAAACAGCTTTGACTTTACAGAGCCTTCTCACGGGTTAGGGTTAGAAAAGCAGCGTGCGTTTCAGGGAAGGATGGTGGTGTGTATCTGATTTAGAGCTACATGTTTAACCATCTGTTAATGTCTAACTGCAGGTCAGTGGGTTTTGTTTTGTTTTGCTTTGTTTTGGAGATGAGGGGCATTTGAGACAGGGTCTCCTTATGTGGTTCAGGCCGGCCTTGAACACACTGTGTACCCCTGGCTGGCTTCACACTTGCAGGGATCCCTCTGCCTCAGCCTCCCCAGTGCTGAGATTACACTATTCCCAGTGTCTTAACTGCAGATCTAGGAGAAGAACACATAGCATACTCATACTTTTTCCCAGCTATAAAAAAAGTTTTTTCTTTTTTGGTACTGGGGATCAAACTCAGGACCTTGTGCTTGTGACGTAGGCGGCAGAACCACTGAGCTAAATCCCCAGCCCACCCAGCTATAAAGTTTTATTGTAGTTGGTGTGGTATACATACATACCTGTCATCCATGCTCTCCGGGAAGCTGAGTCAGGAGGATCTCAAGTTTGAGGCCAGCCTGAGAAATTTAGCATGACCCTGTCTCAAAATTTTCAAAATGGTAATAAGAGGCTACAGATATAGCTCAATGTGAAGGTCCTGGGTTTAACCCCTAGGATCAAAAAATTGGTTTTTTTCCAATAATTTGGGTATGGTGTGATGAACTCGAGGTGATCCTCCTGCCTCAGCCTCCCGAGGGCTGGGCTCAGAGGTGTGCACCACCACACCCAGCGCATCTTTTGGAGTTCTTTTTGGAGGTTTTTTTTTTTTTTTTTTTTTTTTTTTTTTTTTTGGTACCAGGGATTGAACTTGGGTCCTTGCACTTGTAAGGCAGGCCACCGAACCGCTGAGCTAAATCCCGGCCCTAGAGTCGGTTTTGCAGCAGAGGGTTTTTGGGGTGTAGCTGACCCTAGCACTAACATCCTGAGTACAGGAGAGCTGTAATGGCCCCTCACCCCCACGTCCACAACCCGACTGTGCCGCCTACCAGTCCACGGAGGCCACAGCCATTCTTCTCCCTCAGACTGACGCGGAGAGGCAAGAGGAAGCAACTCCACTGGGCTCCAAGGCGCCCATCTGGGTCCCCGACACCCGGGCCACGATGTGCATGATCTGCACCAGTGAGTTCACTCTGACCTGGAGGCGACACCACTGCCGGGCCTGTGGGAAGGTGAGTGTGGGCCCTGCCCAGATGCCTCCACTTAGCAGAGCGAGACCAGAAACGCGGGGCAGGCGCAGGCTGCAGGCCCCGTACCAGGATGGCAACGGCAGCTGGTCCAACTGAGAGGCCTTTGCACGCAGAGCGCTGTTCTGAACGCTGCGGGACAGTTCTCTGGCCCTGGAACTTGACGTGGGATGTGCTCAGTGGTCCCTGGGGCCTCTGCGTCTCCGAGCGGGTCCCGAGTGCCAGCTCCCTCCGCTTGGAAACTTGGACAGGGCTGCGCACTGTGATGAAATAACCGCAATGTGTTTCAGGTCGTCTGCCAAACCTGCTCCTCAAATAAGTATGGCTTAGATTACCTGAAAAACCAACCCGCCAGAGTATGTGAACATTGTTTCCAAGAACTGCAGAAATTAGGTAATATATAAATAAAAACTTCATCAAAAATTCCTCTTTCCCACATGCTTTCAAATAGCCACTTGGCTGTGTGTGGCAGCACACACTTGAAATCCCAGCACTCAGGAGGTTGAGGCAGGAGGATCTCCGCCAGTTCGAGGCCAGCCTGGGCTACACAGGGAGACCCGGTCTCAAAAAACCAATAAAGAAAAATGGAATGAAGGAGAGAGAGAAAGAAAAGAAGGAACCTAAACAGCTTTCTGAAAGAATCATCTTTGGTCCATTAGCAACAGTTTTTAATACTTGGCTCAAAATTACCTCTGCCAGCTTCTTAAGCAGAGTTAATGGCAAGGACTGCGCGAGTCTGTCTTGTGGGAAGGAATCTTTGATTAAATCTCTGAAATGGATGGGACCTTAAAGAAGTCTCGGTTATGATCCGAGCACTCAGGAGGCTGAGGCAGGAAGATTGCAGCAGGTTCAAGGCCAGCCTGGGCTACATAATAAGGTCAAGGCCAGCCTGAACTGCATGGCGAGACTCTGTCTGGAAAAAAAAAGCATAACCCCATAGTTGACAGTGGAAAGTCTTCCTCCTGTGAGTAATCTGCGGCCCATGGTGTAGAGCTTGAGTCTTGCTGAAGGGCAGTCGCTTCCGGCTGTGCCGATCGCTCGCCATCCATTCCAGATCACCAGCAGAGGACCAGCTCCCCTGGAGGCCAGAGGACCCCGTCCAGCACCTTGTCCTCCATGCTGCAGTCCATCCCCCCGGGGCGCAAGCAGAAGAAGATCCCTGCGGCTCTCAAAGAAGTAAGTGCTTCCCATGGCGGCCGGCTGCAGCATTCACAGCCTGCAGTGCTCGGGATCGGGACGGAGGACGTCATTTGCCAGCAGGGTTAGGCGTGAGGGCCTGAGCCTTGGGCCTGGGTCTCCCCAGGGCCTCCCTCCTTTAGAAAATGGCTGGAGACAGGGTTGGACAACACCATATAGCAACCATAGGAAGTAAAGATATGTTGGGCACATATGGATTTTTGTTTTTGAGACAGGATCTCACTTTGTAGTGCAGGCTGGCCTGGAATTTAATGTCAATCCTCCTGCCTCAGCTTCCCACGTGCTGGGATTACTGGTGTGCACCACCACACCCAGCTGACCCGTGAATTTTTAAAAGTTACTTCCAGGAGACCCCCTCGCCTGAAGAAAGAAGTCCCTGGAATAATTTTGGGCATTTCAGTAGCATTTACTGGTCTGCACGTTTGCTCTTTGTAGATACTGATTGGTTATGGACAATAGACTTAGACAGTAGGTTATCTTCGTTTTTATTTTACTCTTTGTTTTACAGTGCAGGGGGGTTAAACACAGGGCCTTCACACTCAGCTACATCCCTAGACCTTTTAAAATGTTGAGACGGGGTTTCGCAAAGTCACTCGAGCCAGACTTGAACTTTCCAGCCTCCTGCCTCAGCCTCCCATAGTGTTGAGCTAAAGGCGGGCACCACTAGGCCTGGCTCTGTTTTTCTTTTTCATTTAAAATTTTCATGGTGCGGTGGGCCGTGAGCTTAGCCCTGGACAGCGAGATGCACAGCTGCAGCCCCTATCCCGGCCTAGCCCCCGACACTTCAGCCTCAGTACACAACGTTCCAGCCGCGTGTGTGGCAATCCGCTCATTACCAAGCCCCTCAGAAGCTGGTTTTGTGGCCAGCAGAGTCCAGTGTGTGTGTTGGGGTTATTTGTGCTTGCAAAGTGGCTATGTCTCCAGTTGGCCCGACCTCCCGGCTAAGTGATCCTCCCCACTCTGCCTCCTGAAGCTGCCTCGGCTCTTAATAGGGTTTTTCATTCTTCTCTTAGCTTTTTGAGTTTACTGTTTAGTCCAGGCCAATGCAGCGATCCTCCTGCCTCAGCTTCCGATTCTCTAAAGGAGAACCACCCTAAAACTTTGACCCAAATCTTACTTATTATGTTCCCAGCTGAAATCACCCAGAGTAGTCTATAGCCAGTTTCACAAAATAGTAAGAATAAGATTTACAAAGTTCAAGTTCTAACTGCTGAGTTGTGTGTGAAACTGGTTATTGAGCGCCTGTGAAGTAGCTCTTCCTCCCTCAGATCCCCGATGTGAGTCTGATTCGGAACTTGAGGCTCTTGTCTCTTGCCAGAAGCAGGGCTGTGCCTGCAGTCCCGACTGCTCCGGAGGCTGAGAAGGGCGGGTGGCTGGAGCCAGAGCAAGCTAGCAAGATTTCCAACTCCTAAAAAAATAAGCAAAGGCCAGGTAGGGTGGCCCATGCCTGTAATCCCAGCTCTCAAGGAAGGCTGAGGCAGGAGGATTGCTATGAGTTCAAGGTCAGCCTGGTAAGTTAGTAACCTATCCAGATCTTGTCTCAAACTAAAATAAAAAATGCACTAGGGATGGAGCTCTTGTGTGCAGGCTGGATTCAATTCCTACTCCCAGGGAAAATTTTTAATTCATTAAGTTGAAGAATTACATTTTTAGAAAAGCACAGTAGGCTTTGGGTCATGCTTTTTTTCCTCTCCTACTAAAACAGAACAGCCCAGCATCGTGGTGCATTAGGAGGCAGTGGCAGGAGGATTGCTGAGAGTTCGAATCCAGCATGGACCTCTCAAAAAATCAAAACGAAAGAGACAGAGAGAGAGAAGGGAGGGGGAGAGAGAGAGACAGACAGAAACCCGGGTAAACCAGGTAAAATTTTGAAATCTCTTATGAAAGAAAAGGTTTTTCGCTCACACTAACAGCAGTATTGAGTTTGTTCTGCGGCAGGCTCTGCACGTACGCAGCTCTGTTCTGAAATAGTCTCCTGTCGCTGTCACTGCTTTTAACACCCAACACACGGCGCAGCGCTGCTGTTCCTCCAGCCCGACCGACCGGAAGGCCGCTGACCGTGCGGCTTCCCCTTCCCCGCTAGGTGTCGGCCAGCACGGAGGACTCCTCCATGAGCGGCTACCTGTACCGCGCCAAGGGCGCCAAGAAGCCGTGGAAGCACCTGTGGTTCGTCATCAAGAACAAAGTGCTGTACACGTACGCGGCCAGTGAGGTGAGCCGGAGACCGGCGGGAGGAACCTGCAGCGGCCGGAGGATGCGCCTGTCCGGTTCTGTGACTTGAGGTTTATCCTGTGGCCCTGGGACCCAGCCCCAGCCCCAGCCTTCAAGCCTGCTGGGCCAATTCCCTGCCACCGTGCTTTGCTTTGGGAGACGCTGCCGCTGTTTCCTTACTGCAGTGATGTTCTTGCTTCCGACCCTGAGAGCTCTTGCTCAAGGGTTCAGGAATTCTCCCCTTTTGAGACTGGCTCGCTCGGTAGTGCAGGCTGGCCTTGAACTGTCTACCCCACCCTGTGGCCTCGGAGCCCAGGCTGGTCAAACTCCAGCGATCTTCCTGCCTCGGCCTCCTGAGTGTGGGATTACAGGCGGGATGGGGCCGAGCCGGAGATCAGGGTTTTCTGTCCTTCTCTCCTCTCTGATCTGGTGTTTCTGCAGTCTGAAAACCTCGAGGGGAGGGCGTTCCGTAGTCGCTTACCTTTCTAAGGAAACTTGCAGCGTCGCCTCCTCGGCTGTAGCAGAATTAAAGTGAGGCTCGGCAGCTGTGAGTGCAGTGAGGTGACCACTGGCACAGCGCCTGGCATGTGGCCAGGGCGCCGAGTGTGGTGCGCGGATGCCAGCGCCCTTGTGTCTGAAGCGAACGCCTCTCTGGGGTTTGTGTCCACCCCAGGATGTGGCGGCTTTGGAGAGTCAGCCTCTGCTGGGGTTCACGGTCGCCCAGGTGGGAGGTGAAGGTGCCGAGCCCCGGGTGTTCCAGCTCCTACACAAAAACATGGTGTTCTACGTCTTTAAAGCAGAGGATGCCCAGTCGGCCCAGAAGTAAGTGGCACACACGAGTCCCTCCTGTACATGAGACCCTGAGTTGTTCTTTGATTTGTGTTTTGCAGTTCTAGGGACTGAATTCAACGTCTTTGCCCTGACCTGCATTTCCAACCCACCTGCCCTTCCCTCCCTCCCTTCTTTCCCCTCCCACCTTTCTTTTTGGTTTTTTGAGACAGTGTCTTGCTCCATAGTTCTGGCTGGATTGAACTCAGAATCCAAAGTGACCCTCCCGCCTCAGCCTCCTGTGTGCTGGGGTTACAGGCATGCACCACCATGCCTGGTCCATGATAGCCTATTATAAGAAACTATATTTGAGTAAGAAAGGAAAGAAATTACTGTAGTTAGGTTCCACGACAGTGATAGTTGGTAGGGAGGAAAGAGACCACACCTGACATCTTCCAAGCACTCGTAGCTGTGTTAGGTAAAAACGATCCTAGAACGACCTCGATGGCATTTTGTAAACCCATGTATTGCATGCAAAATAGTACTTTGCGGGGGGTGGACTGAATACCAGGTGGATTGAGGAATATTAGGATTCACCAGGAGACTTGGGCTGGTGGAGCTCACGGAGGAGGAAAGGGTGCACAGTGAGTGTTCCTGAAAACACTGCATCAGAGGCCCAGAAAGGAGGAAGAGGAGCTGTCCTAAAGGTCTTCAGTAATTTATTTACTTACTTAGCACAGTATTGTAGCGTGAACCCAGGAAGTTTGTACAGAGCTGCATCTCAAGCTCTTTGTTATACTAAGACAGTCTTGCTGTCTTAAGACAGTCAAGGTGGGCTCGAACGTGCAGTCCTCCTGCCTCAGCCTCCCAGAGTGCTGGGATCACGGGTGTGTACCTCTGAATCCAGCTAAAGGTTTTTAACTGACATACCCACTTCCAAAGCCAATTAAATAAGGGACTCGGGGCTTTATAGAACCTTTACACGTGAAATGGCTCCTTTCTCTCATGCCTCAGAGAAATGAAGACACGCTTTGTAGGCCAGAGTTTGGGACAAGTTTCAGAGACAGGTACTCTGAGTTTGCAGGAGTAGCCAGGCGCTATAGGAAACCCCTTCGCATGTTGTCAGCGTGACACAGGCCCGGGACCAGCTCTTGGCAGACACCTCTGCTCTCAGGCCTGCACTGTGTGAATCTAACTCATTTCTCTGACCTGCAGGTGGATAGAGGCGTTTCAGGAAGGCACTGTGTTGTAGCAGTATTGGTCTCTCCTGTTCTTCCAGGACGGTGGAATCTCATCAGAATGAAGTAAAAGCAATTCAAAGTTTCGTAAAAATAAACACTGCCGAGATAAATCCAGCCAAACCCTTTATCAGATACAAGAAATTATTTTGTTAGATATATGTAGGTTTTTTTAAATGTTTGTTTTTTTCATGTATGTTATTTATTAAAATTGTAATGTTTACTTAATGGTCAGAATTATGTCTGTCACATTGAATTCTAAAGTACCATTTCTTTAGAGAGCGGAACATGTAGCTTGTTCTGTAGTAACTATTTGTAACCCAGCCCACACGTGTTCTCTGCCTTGCCTTGTAACATTTCTTACTGGTTGTGAATCTCTGTAAGTAAAAAACACATAGAAGAAGCAAATTTCAATGCAGTATTTGGTTTAGAGATCATGATTACTGCCAGGCATAGTGGCGCAGGTCTGTTGTAATCCTAGCATTTGGGAGGCTGAGGCAGGAGGATCTCCAGGAGTTCAAGGCTGGCTTGAATTACATAGCAAGATCTTGTCTCAAAACCAAATATCAGAAGAAAGAGAAAGAAAGCTAAGATTATTATAAAACTACTGAAGAAAATAACATCTTCGAATCAATAAACTTAGAATATTTTTCCATCTTGAATGGAAAAGCACGTGGCCAGCTTCTACCTCAGTAACTGTGAAATGAAACTGGACCCTGTTACCTAGTTTTTCTACCTTGTGTGCCTCTGCTGGCATGCATTAATGTTACGTCATCAAAGAATTAAGCAAAGGGACAGTAACCTGAATTGTTTTGTATAACTCCATGCTTTGCTTTTCATTAAATTTAATTGTTTTTTAAAAGCTAGCTATCAGTTCGACATAAACATAAGTGGAATTTTTTAAAGTAGCAAAATACAGCACATTTATTTATTTACGTTTTTCTTCACAGCACTATGCTGGCGCCTCACTGAGGCAGGCTGGCTCTCCTCTCCCACGGAGCCACCGGCCAGCGTGTAGCAATGTTCTGGTCCTTAGTCTCCCCTGCCACTGCACACGCCCCCGTGGTGCTCACTGTGTACCTGCAGAGAGCACTAAGTTCCCTAAAATGCTGTGCTTTTAAAAATGAACTGGAGGGCTGGGGATTTAGGTCTGTGGCACTGCCTCCTGCCTCGCAAGCGCAAAGACTTGAGTTCAATCTCTGGTACCAAAAAAAAAAACAAAACAAAACTGGAATCACTATCAGAAAGGCACACATGCTAAGCCAGTATGAACTGAAACTGTATAGTATTTTTTTTGAAAAGCCTTTTTATACCTGTGTGTGATAGAGGTCCTTGGTGTTTACAGCCAAGTCCTTTCTTTCCTAGTCAGTGTCAGCAAGCCTCGTGTGCATAATTCTGGTGCACCTGTTGTTTAACCTATGAGTCACCTTGTACAAGAAACTGTCGATAAGCAAAAGAAAAATGCAATTAACACCATGATTAAAGTTGTACGTGATGTTCATAATAAACATTTTCTTGACTGAATTTACATAAAGGCAAGGTCTCCCATAGAATATGTCATTGAAGTGTAGAAGAACCAGTCATGGTGGCACATGCCAGTGATCCCAGTGGTCTGGGAGGCTGAGGCAGGAGGATCGCAAGTTTGAGCCCAGCCTGAGCAATTTAGCAATTTAGCAAGTGAGATCTTGTCTCAGAATAAAAAGGACTGGGGATGTGGCTCAGTGCAAAGGTCCTGAGAGTATATGTCTTGCTGTGACATAATTTTAAACCTGGTGTAACATCACACATCAGTTGTATAATACACTATCCTCAAGAAGTCTTTTTTAAGACAAGATGTCTGTGTAGTTTAGGTCAGGCTTAAAATTGAACTCATGACTCTCCCGCTTCAGTCCCTTGAGTACTAAGATTGGAGGTATGCACTACCACGTCCAACTCCAATGGGTGGGGGGGCTTTTTTTTTTTTTTTAATTTGAGAAAGAATCCTATCAAACTCCACTGTGTAGCCCAGGCTAGCCTCAAATTTAAGGAGATCCTCTGCTGGGGAGTTAGCTCAGTGGCACTGTGTCTGCTTCACAAGTGCAAGGTCCTGAGTTTGATCCCTGGTACAAAAAAAAAATTTAGGAGATCCTCCTGCCTCAGCTTTCCTAGTGCTGGGACTACAGCGGTGTGTGCTCCCACACCCAGAACCGTGCTGTTCCTGCATAAACCTTGGCTGAAGTCCTCCTTACCTCTTCTCCAGGATGGCACTAACTTTTCTTCTGAGTGGCAGTTCAGTGGCAGAGCCCTTACCTAGTGCGTTCGAGACTCTGGGTTTGATTCCAGCACTGGAAGAAAAACAAGACCTACTCAGTTTTCTTGCGTGGTCCATTTTCAGCACTGTCCGAGCTGCCTTCCTACAACATGGTTCTAACCTGGTCCTGTCCCGTGCCCGGCAGCCTTGGGGGTTCCTCTACTGGGGTGGCAGGGAAGAGGCTGTTGTTAGGCAAGGCCACAGTGTGAGGTGGAGGGGAACCCTGAGGGGCCTCCTGTGGGACAGGGTAGGTGGCCGTCCCGAGAATAATGTCCTGTGGATTTCAAAGCCACATGATTCACACGAGGCCCTGCACTGGAAGGGAGAAGCAGGGGGACCCCAGAACCCGGACACTGTGTTCCCAGAAGGGGCAGGACGGGACCCCAGGCACTGTGCCTGCTTCCCCTCCCCCGCCCCGCTGTCCCTCTCCTGAGAGGGAGGAGCTGTTTGTCCTGCAGCCCAGCTTCACAAACCCTGCAATAGACACACTTCTGAGAGGTGATGGTTGGCTCCCAGTCTCCCTGCTCCTGCCCCAGCATCGGAGTGTGGCCCTGGGTGGTCATTGGGGGCCACGTGACAGGATGTGCTTCTGAAGGGACGAGGCCCTGTCTGTGACATGACCTTGCGTGTCACCATAGCCACTGGCCGGGTAGTTGCTGCCGGCTGTCGTCCCTGCATTCCCAAGTCCCCAGCTGGCATAGGGAGGCTGTGACCCTGTCTGGTTTGGGTTGGGAGGGAGCGCCGGGGTGTGGTGTGGTCCCGGGAAGGGTGGGGTATCACGTGAGACCTGGGCTGCATTGTTTGTGAGTGGATCTTTCCTCGGTGCCCCGTTTCCTGCGGGCAGTGGTGGAGCCAGACCCCCCTAAAGGCTGGGCAGGGAGCCACTAAGATGTCCTAGGGCGGAGGGAGGCTGGTGGCCAGGTCCCACTTAGGATGCCACGTGGCCAGACAGGTCCTGCCATCCAGGCCCACTCCTCCCGAGTCCCCACTTGAAAGCCCTGGGCCTCGGGTTGCCGTGGAAACCCTGGTCCTGAACACGTGTATTCCCAGGAGCTGCTCCTGCTTGGGCAGAATCCGGCAGTGCCGGCTGTGTGCACCAGCTGGGCCCCGCTGGGACAAAGGCTAAGGACGACCTGCATGCTGTCCTCCAGGCCTGTTTGCAGGCACAGAGAGGAGGACAGTGCTGCCAGCTGGCGTCCCAGGAAACTGAGCTCCTCCAAGGATGGAGCAGACCCCACACCCACAGGCTAGGAGGTCAGTGCCCTCACAGCGTTCCACTCCACGGGCCTGGCCTCGGAACCCCTGCCTCGTCAGGAAGTGCCCAAGGCATCAGCTTTCCAAGGCAGAGGGCTGGGGTCCCTACATGGTCGGTGCTGTGGGCACCACGAGAATGGCCAGCAAAGCCCCAGGAGGACACCTGATGAGGAGGATGAGTATGCTCCCGAGGGCTGGGCCTGCATGTCACAGGCGAGGGCGCTCTGGCTCTGCAACCAGCCACGGCCCTGTAGATGCTCTGCTCTGAGCTCCCGCTGCTTTCTGTACCCGGGGAAATGCACATCTTAGGTCTGCGATGCACTGAATGCACCTGATGCTGCCCACATATATATGTGGAAGTCTTCACCCCCTCAGAGTGGTTTTTGAAATGGAATCTGGGAGATACCTAGGATTGGATGGGGACATGAGGGTGAGGTCCCCATGATGGGATTCATGGCCTTGGAGGAGGGGAAGGGAAACCTGACTTCTGAGAGCCTCCAAGAAATGACCACATGAACACAGAGCAGGGAGACATGTGACGGAGGGCATCCGCCAGCCAGGACGAGGGATGACCGTACATCCCCTGTGAGCACCTTGTCCTTGGCTCCCCAGGCTCCGGGGCTGTGAGAGGGAAACAGCTATGGCCTAAGACAGGGCTTCCCTCCCTAAGTGATGGGTCTGTACCAGGCTTTGGCCTGTTAGGAACCAGGCTGCACAGCTGGAATAGCCACCCACAATGATGGACTGAACCTTTGGCTGTGTCACAGCCTCTCCCCGTCACCCCCATTCCTGCCTCAGCTCTCTCCCCCACCCCTCTGTGAGACCAGCAACACCATTAGTTTCTCGGGAGCATGAAACCTGTGGCGAACTATGCACACCAGGGACCTAGGCTGTGCTTATGAGATTCTCATGCCTCGTGGTTGGTGGTGAAGCCGAGGCTGTGATGCTAGCAATGATCATCGTGGCTGCTGCAAATCCAGGTGAACAGCAGCAGAGAGCTTGGACTGCACAGATAACGTAATGAATTGGTTGCTTGCAGATTCAGATCAAAACTCTACCAGTGAGGGGCAATTAAGTTGCAGCTGGTGGCAGGCATTATAGTGGCAAGGAAGTTGATGTACTTCAGCCGTACAGCTGCATCTTTAGTCAGAATCTGCCACATTTAAATTTTGGTGTGGCCCACCTATTATTTTATCCATCACTTTCAGCTGTACCTCTTTCCACACTACTCATCTTGAGCACTGTCTTTGTAAACCCACAAGCTAACTCCAGTCAAAAGGAGTCAAGAACAAACATCACCAGAGAGCTTCTTTGAAAACAGGAAAAGACCAAGTGATGAGACCACAGAAAGAAGTCTGTATGACTGCCAAGAAAAAATAGGGTTTCTTTTCACAAACAGTGCTGAGGAAATTGGATTTCTATGTAGAGACTGAAACTAGATCTTTAGGTCCTATCCTATACCAAATGTATTCAAAAAAGGGTTGAAGGCCCAGATAGACCTCAAACTTTGAAAATGCTAGAAAAAAAAAGGGCAAACTCTTGAATCACAGGCACCAGGAAGACATCCTGATGAGGACTCCAGTAGCACAGGAAATAATAGGAAGAATCAACAAGGGGAGTGTAACATTTCAGTAAACATTCTTGCTCCCTGTTCCACAATTATTTACCACAATTACTCCTTTTCTAGGCTCCAGTGACATTTTCTCACCATCTTCCTAGTTTTTGTTTTTGACATAGGGTCTCATGTGGTTCAGGCTGGCCTTGAACTCACTACGTAGCCCAGGTTGGCCTTCAACTCAGATATTCTGCCTCAGCCGCCTAAGTGCTGAGGCTATACACCCAGTTCCTCCCACATTTTTTTTTCTTTTTTTCTTTTTTTTTTTTTTTTTTTTTTTTTTTGTACCAGGGATTGAACTTGGGTCCTTGTGCTTGCAAGGCAGGCAGTGGAACCACTGAGCTAAATCC